AGCCTCTGCAGCCCGCTGGGCCGCGGCGGTAAGGGCGCGGTCTCCTGGCCTGCGGGCTGCGGGGCTGGGTTTTTCCACGCTGGGCTTTGTTCCCCACTTTCTGCTTTCCTGTGAGTGTACCATAAGCTCCTGGAGTCTCATGCGTCCAAGCAGGCGTAGGGAAGAGGGGACTCGCCGGCGTGTTTGCCTGAGGTCCCTGTCGCTGTCACTCGCAGGGCGTTTCAGCCTCGCGCAGTGCCGCCCGATGCACGTCCTCTACACCCTTGGGGGCTTTTTCCGGTTCAAGTAGAGGTATTATGTGCTCCTTCGAGGCTTCCTCAATTTTCCCTGTTAACCTGTAGAAATGAAGACTGGTTTGATAATAATAATAATAATACGGCCCCTCATGGTTTTTGTTGTTGTTGTTGTTGTTGTTGCTGTTGTTTTTACGTATTCAGAGGTGGGAAGGTGATGTGGTCAAAATGCAAATTAGCAATGAAGGCCGTGAGTGCTATGGCTTAGACATCAAAATCACGAGGCACTCGGGAAGGGAATGAGAAGAAGGTCGAAGGAGGTATTTTAAAAACCGGGTTGCCTTCCTGACTCGACCATTAAGGAGCCAAGGAACCCTGGGCAAGTCGCTTCACCGCTCTGAGCCTCTTTCTGCGTGTAAAATGGGGTGTTGGGACTTAATGATGTCTAAACCTCAGTTCTTCCAAGAGTCTGCTATCAGGAACTGAAGTGACAAGGGTGCTTGTGTTTAACACCTTTATAAGAAACCCGATTGTGACAGAACAAGTGACTCTGCCCTCGTGAGGTAGAAAGATTTTTCAGGGCTTGGTCAATCTGATTTAAAAACAAAACAAAAAAAAATCAAAACTGATTTTCTCTATCTACACTCTGCAGTCTAACCCAACAAATATGCATTATAACCATTTTAATTTGTGTACGTTACTGTACATCGATGAGCAACAATGTGGTGGCTTTTGTTTTAATTTTCTGAACGTGAGGTGATGGGATCAGCATATAAAGGGTTAGTGGCTTCCCAGGGCTGGGCCTGAACAGTCAAACGTGGTCAGCAATGGAGGGGGAGAGGGAGGGTGGAAACCCCAGCAAGAAGTAACTAGAGTGTGTATAGACACTGAGAAAAAGAGAGGATGCGTACTGATGGATCATTGTTGGAGAAAGAAATACACAATAGAAGGAATGAGAGAACGAGAAACTCAGTGCTGTGCAAACCATAGCGTAACAGTTGATTCAGGCGAGGACTCACCAACTGGCACAAAACCTTTGAGCGAAAGGCGGTTGGAGAATAGGATTTTCACATTATTTCAAAATATCTCACCACAGATGACTTAGGAAAAATGTGCCCTTACAATGGAGAGATTAGGAAGGCACCACCTTTAACCAAATGATCAAGTTTAGCTGCATCTATTCTGAGCCTCCCATTGGGATGCAGTAAGAAGGCCATAACTTCATTTCTGTAGTGTTCCTGCCAAAAAGACTTGGGAGAGGCGTAACGATTGTAGAATGAGATACTCTAGTAACATTACAATGAATTGGGATGTGTGAACTTTGAATCCTAGATGAGGAAAAAGAAAACTATAAAAGACAATTTGGGCTGGGCATGGTGGCTCACACCTGTAATTCTAGTGGTTTAGGAGGCTGGGGTGGAAGGCTTGCTTGAGCCCAGGAGTTCAAGGCTGCAGTGAGCTATGATCCCACCACTGCACTCCAGCTGAGGAGCAAAGGGAGAACCTTTCAAAAAAATTAAAGACCACTTGGAGACACTTGGGGATATTTGAGTATGGACTACATGTTAGATAATATTATGGCATTACTGCTCATTTTCTTAGGTACAATAATGATACTGTGATTATGTAGCAGACTAGACCATGTTTGTTCTTTGGTGTTGTGGGTATTAGAGGTGAACTGTCATGACATCTGCAACTTTCAGCTGGTTCAGAAGAAAAGGTGTGGGAGCAGTAAAGCAAGTTCAGGAATGTAGAAAATGTGGTAGGGTGATGGCAGTTGTGAATAAAGAATAATGGGGTACAGGTGTTGATTGTACTATTCTTTTAACTTTTCTTTGGATTTCAACTTATTAAATAAAAAATTGATGATCAGTATGATAAATAAGTAAAATAAAGAGGAAGTGTCGTAGCAGATGTACAGCTGCAGTTAGTGACAGACAACTGAAGTGAATCTGTGGGAAACTTACTGGTTTTAAGTTCTCAGGTTTAAATCCTGTTGGAGGTGTGAGTGGGGTTAGGGGAAGAACCCTTTTTTGGTTCAGCTTGGCTACTATCATTCATTTATGATTAAGATACCCCACCCCCTGGCTCCAGCCTCAAAGTATTAGTAATTCTCCCAAGCCTTAAAAATTCTAGTCCTACCCAAGGACCATCCTGAGAGTGCTGTCCCTTTCCTCCCTGTGTCCGAGATCTGTGTCAGTATGTAGGGAAGTTTGAGAACATCAGTGGTGGTTCATTTTATTTTGGATTATGGAAGTGTTGCGGGGTGGGGGGGGGAAACTGATCCTACTTTGTGATAGAAGTTGTAGGGTTTCTTCTCATTCCCTTGTTTATAGATCACATATAACCAAATGTTGTCCTTATAGACCATAAGTGGTCCAAAGAAGTTCATACAAGGCATGTGCAGAAGACACTTCCTGTTACCAGATCACAGAACAGTATCAACTCTTAAAATACACTTAATCTCTTATACAGAATCCTTTGCTGCAAGAATATTTTTGCTATACCTGGATTTTATGTGTGTGTATGTATGAAATTATTAAAGACTGTATATATGTGTGTGTATCTGTGAATCTCTCCACCAATATTCCCCAAAATATTAGAATGTGAATAGGTTACAAGGAAAAGAAAGTGCCTAATCAGATTTGGAAAACACTAGGGCAAACAAACCTGGAAAAGTTTGTTTATTCTTGGCTTTTCAGAGCCTTTCATGGACTAATGATCATGGTGTGTGGGGATAGAGGTGGGGTGGGAATGTCTGTAGGATGTGGTATGGATTATTTTCCAGACTGTGTGCAAAAGAATTTTTTTTTAATCTTGAGGGACTAGCATTGCATGGAACCAACTTTGAAAAGCACTGCCTTTAATGCATCTTTGACTGGAGGGTCAGGACATGTGGATAAAACATGTAGGTCATAAGTATTGGTGCTTCAAATTACCTGCAGATTAGAATTTAAATTTCATTTTCTGGTTTTAATGAATGATAACTGTCCTCAATCTACCTTTCCAACTTTAATTTCCCACATTTCTTCCTATAAACTGTTTGGTACTTTATTGTATACTATGAATGATTTTTATTTTCAGTATATCAAAAAGCCAATTATACACAACTTTGAGGGCTTTATGGTTGTGTAAAATGAGATGCACCATTCTGCTATGACTCTTCCGAGGAGCTGAGATAGCCACCTTTCCTTACAAAGCCATTTTGGGTTCCTTGGCCTTGGTCCTATGTTTCAGCACAACCTTCCTCAAAACTGTGATTCATGCTCTTTCTGCTTTTATGTTTTGTCCTCCTGTTTTAGCATCAAGGCTGCCCCGCTAATTATCTTTTGTTGTTGTTGTTGTTGTTTTGAGTTAGGGTCTTACTCTGTTGCCCAGGCTGGAGTGCACTAGCATGCTCATGGCCACCGCAGCCTCAACCTGCTGGGCTCAGGTGATCCTTCTGCCTCAGCCTCCCAAGTAGCTGGAACTACAGGTGTGTGCCACCACACCCAGCTAATTTTTTGAATTATTGTAGAGATGAGGTCTCACCAAGTTGCCCAGACTGGTCTCAAACTCATAGGCTCAGGCAGTCCTCTCACCTCCACGTCCCAAAGTGCTGGGATTACAGGTATGAAACACCATACCCAGCTCATTAATTATCTTTTTCACATGTGTCACCAATATTCCTGGATTCCCCTAGTGATAGCAGGATGGGGTGAGAGTGAAAAGGTCAGCGCTAGGATTGCAAGTGACAGGAGCTCATGAAACAGGACACAAGTCAGCCATGCCAAGCCTGGACATGAGGAGAAAGGAGCACAACTGGGGCACTAGCCCTAAGAAGGAAGCAGGAGGCCTCTCATCAGAGTGGCTGGAGGGGTGTGGAGTCTAGTAAGCTGGATGTGTGGGGACAACTATCCTCACTGTTTACAAACAAACTTTCTAACTGGGCGGTGCCCATTCCATACCAGTTGCTAAATGTTTTGCATATCATCTTGGTAAGTAGTCATAAATCAAGGTGTACACAGCACCCGTAAGTCATAACAAAGCATAGATCAAAATCTACCTGGTATACAGATGACAAAGGAAGAGACAAGATAGGTGGATAAAAGACCACATAAGCAGGCAGAAGCAAGGAGGGCACATGAATCAAAGGTCAAAGAGCAGGAAACCCAGGGTGCCAATCAGGAGGTTAGAAACCCATAAGTTCCCAAAGGGAAAAAGAGAGAACATGGTTAGAACCAACAGGCAGTTAAAAACCAGAAAGGGACAGATCCCCAGGTGGAAGGCAAGGGGGTAGACAGAGGCCAAGAAATAGGAACTCCTCCAAAAACAGAAAATAAGGCCAGACAGGAGGGACAAGTCACCAACAGGAAATAGGACCTGCCAAGAGAATTAGAAACCAGGAGGCAGTCTGAGCAGACAGTAAGACTTCCATGTGAAAGAGCTTCTGCCCTGGCCCGGGAGCTTTTTGGCTACTTCCTGCCCCAGTGGAAATCTATCTCATAGTTTGGCCAGCCTACA